GTGGAACGTACATGCTAAGTGTGGTCAGTACATGGTCAAACTTAGAAATGCACTAGTGGGTGGCAGTTTACATGGCACACGTGTAAACTTCAGCAGTGAAATAATTTGAGTTACTTTTGTTAAAATTAGTCCCCTGTTTCTGTCTTACTTTTTCTGACACCACATCACATGGTGGCAGATATATGACTTTATTTGATTCATCAGCTGAAGTAAAGCAAGAGATCTCGAGGAAAAGAAAGATAGGCTAAATGAAGGCATGGCAATGTCAAGGAACGCTTTATTCTTGGAGCCTGATAATTTGAGCAAAGACCCGTCAAAAGAGCTGCTCAATTCAGACGGTTCCGCTGTCTGCTGAAATGTTTAGGTTCTGGAAATAGAGTAGCAATGAGTTGGAAAAGGCTACACCTAGTCATGCTAGTTCCTTTCAGTAAATAGAACTTCAAGCTTAATATGGAACAATTTATAGTTTTCTTGCCCTGCAGTTTAATAAGATAATTCTTATATTGGAATACATCACTTGGAGAGGCAAGCAATGCAAATGTGTTAACAGGAAAAGCAGCGGCCAGAGAATTTGACAGGACAACCAAACATTCACTTTACACATTCTCAATTCTGTACATTTCATACTGGTGTTGTGGTCAGACTGCAGTGATCAGCTAATGAATTGTTCTGGGGAGATTTTCACAATCCGGTAAAAGAGTATACATATTGTAGTGATTAATTACTATCTGAGGTCTGCTTTGCATGCCTGAAACATTTTTAAATTCGCTTTCCTTCTCAGGGTAATGTGCAGAATAAAAGGAAGGCTTTGTATATTTACTCTGTTGAAAAAAAAACGGTAATTTGAAAGGGAACCAAACTTTTATTACCGTTTATATTTGAACCTCTCATTTTACCTTCCCAGCTAGTCACTAGAATAACTGAAAATTCAATTGAAAGTGAAAGTACACCACTGTTACGACATCCTGAATATGCAAGGTTGGAACGTACACGTAGGGGTGTTTCAGCACATCATTCCATGTGCTTGTAATGTATGCTCGTCACCTATGGTCCTTGCGTAATGAACAGCTAGTTCTGCTGCATGTTTTCTTTTCGAGGCAGCCATAGAGACGAAAGCATGAATGAGGGTATATAACTAGCCAACAATCTTTAGTCCAAGACCTGCTGGCTTACTGCCAGAGTAGAGGCTGGACACTGATATGACACCTCAAATAGGTGTGAAGATACAGCAGGTCACTGCCAAACACTGCTGCATGAGGGAGTCTCGATAGCTACAAACTTCAGTTCGATATGTACCAAGAAAATGTTAGAGTGTAGAACTTGCTCAGCTTGATGGGGTCTGTTTGTACTATATGGCAAAAGGAGTGTTCACTAGTAGAGGTGCAGAAGCTATTAAAAATACTCAGAAGCTGAATATAGGTTTTGTAAGGGTTGGTAGTGTTCGCACCTTTACCACAAAATACCGAGCATCCGTCCAGTGTACAATTCCATTCTACCCCTCAATTTCGTAATACTCAGAAAATACACAAAGAACATATTTTTACACATTGTTGGCCGAAAAATCACCCATCCCCAATTTTACACTATCTAACAATTTTGAGTGGGCGCTTGCTCGGAATTTTACGTAGTGCAACATGCCTAATTTGGACAGTGACCAATTGGTGGGTACCAATATATCGGGTTATGAACCTGTACATGCAAACTGACTGGGAGCTAGGCACAGTAACAATCATTGCCATGCTTGTATTGAATCAGTAGAGGCTGCATCACCATGACCCGAAGAAACTCTGGAATGGTACAACTACCTTCTGGAATTTGAAAGTTATTCACACGCTGACAAGGACACTAATGCTTAAGCAACCTTGTTTGAGTTGCTAAGAAAATAGGTGAGTTTTTTTTAACAGTGCTGCGAGGATGGAGTACAGCAGAGAGCCATATCCCAAGTGCAGGGAGGGGTTCAGGACAAGATGAAATCCTTGTTTAAAGGTGCTCTTCCCAGGAAAAAGAAAATACCCATTTGTACTAAACATTCACTCTCATATGTTTGTAAGTAATTTTTCTTACTACACTTGTTTCACATCAAGAAAAAAACAAGTTTTGCACAAGTTCATATGCTGTACAAAGTAGTTCTTACAAGATGTGGTCGGCAGAGGAAATAACCACAATGTTTTTTGCATTGAAAACGTGAAACATGTACCTTTTGATAATTTGTCAAATAACTGATCTTAAATGCACATGCAGGTATCTTAATTCACCACATTAAGGGTAAAAGCATTAATGCTTCTCAAGGAACCAAGCTTTACTGCAGCTCTTGAGGTGAAAACAAGTAAATATTTGTTTTTTGATGGAAGTCTGATCTTTGTAAGGTTTTGCATACTGTATATAAACACATGTTTATATGACCATCTCTGCCATTGGCTATGTAAAGCCCTTTACAGTTTGATGTGCTGATCAAAATAGTTAAAACCACAGCACTGCCTGGCCAATGTATGGGTACTAAGTTAGTGAAAGCGTTTAAACAGGTGTCGACTGGCCAGTGCTGCAGAAAAGACTGGAACCTTTTTTACAGTGCAGCATAGCAAATTGCCCTTGTACACAGTGCAAGCTGTAGTTCAAGACCGGAGTTCATGCAAGTCACTTTCACGTTCATACACAACGTAAGCCACCACGGTTAAATTTGAGGAAGAAAAGCACTATGGCAGCAGAGAAGGGGAAGTGCACATGTGTAGTGCTGTGAATGGATTTTGACATAAATGCGATGTTGTACACAGAGATTGTGTGTCTTGTTCATTTGTACATGCCCACATAGTTCCTGTAGAATGTCGAGCATACACAGCAAAATATATCTGTACACACGTCGCGAGAAACATGTGGACACACAGCTTGGCACACTGGCAAGTCTTAAGGAAAGGGGCAAGAGTTTCCCGTTCAAAGTTGTTATACACATGGTGGCACAAAGGCCTTGTACATACCCATAACTTGACTACAAAGTGCCTTGTATACACATAGTATTCACATGTGTAGGTAAAATATGATGTAATGTATGCTTACAAAAAAAATGTTCACATGCAAAGCTAAGTGATCTGAGATGCCCAAGGTTGGCAAGTCTATCATATATACCAGTGCTAAGCAGTGTTGGATATGCTTCACTATTGGGGTAGTGGGTGGAGTTGTTTAACCTACCTAGCAGTTGCCTGTATTCAACAGATCTGTCGACATAAGTTTAGTGGTGCACCTGGATGTTTGCAAAATTTACAAGCTGGCGGCATGCTTACCTCGGCAACGTAACAATACTCAAGGTAATGTAATATCCAGGGAAATCATTTCACAGAGAGCTATCAGCATATGAACATGAAGATGAACCATACAAACAAATTCGATATATAAGATTAGAAAATGGCATTTTCAACGTCCCATTTGAATAGTGAGTTTACCCCTTTAATTTTAAGAAACAACAAATGTTTGCAAAGGTGCAGGTCTATCTTATTTTTTTAATGTTAAAATGAAAGAGAATAACTATTTTTAAAGCGATAAGTGACACAGTCTTGAAAACGGATTTAATGTGAAAATTGTCGTTTTTTTCATTTAAAACTTTCATGGCAACAAAGTGTAAACAATATATATATGTTTGCATCTCAAGGTAAACTAAATTGCTAATCAGTAAAAAACATTTTCCTAGTTTCATTGTTAATGACATGGAACGTAATAAGTTAAAAAATGAAGCATTAGAAATGCCGTAACAAGCCAGCAGTCAAGAAATACTAAATAAGAATTACTTCAATTGCAAACTCGTATTGTCCAGAGGAGTGCAATAATGAATTCCCATCTAACGCGACTATGCTGACAGTCATTTTGAAAAGCACATCGTCACATATGTTGCTTCACAAAAATATTGGTCCATCTTCTTGGTATAGTTTTGCGAGACAAAATAGCAATGGTTTTTAGCTTTGTATAAAACTACATTCTCGGGTGAAGGCGTCCTTGTTGAGTACAGCTGCATTCGGTCAGCAATTAGCCAAGTTACACTTTTGTGTTGCTTTAGCTGAATTTGATTGCAAGCGAGGCTGTAAGCCGGCACTGGGAATATTTTTGACGGAAGTAGAGATAATTTACATTTGGTTGCTAGTTTCTTTTTTATCACCTGGCTTTGTGGAAATTTGCAAGTATTTGCAATACAATTCAAAGACTGGCTGACAGATGAGCATCAATATATAGCATAAAAGCAACATCACAATCTCATCCTGAAGCAAAGCTGTAGGTAGCTTACAGCAAAATGTTATGTTTTGAATTTTCCAAAGTAATAAATGTCTGACCAATAGCTGTCCATACAGTGGATGTTTTTCCGAGTCAATACGAACAAATCTTATCACATCATGCCACAACACTTGATAGCAGAATGAACATACTCCACGTTGGCAATATCATTGCACATAATTGAATGCCATACCACAGGAAAGAGAAGAATCCTCACTCACACACCATTGACAATCAGCAGAACAGAAAATAAAGCAGGTATGTACAGGTGGTAAATAAGAAACAAAAAACTTGGTTATCAACAGACGCATACAGCAGTACAGGCTAAAAGGAGAACGGGCACCCAGGTGCTGTGTTTTGTGAGCAGTATTTGACATCCAATTTATTACATAGAAAATTGAAAATGCCCAGTGTATATGACGGTATCTTGTGGAGGACAGCTCCGTCTGTTCACACATGATACGGCTTTATTTTTGATGTCCGTCAAAGCGATTGTTGCTTTATATCGATAGACATGGGTTGCATGAGAAGCGAGCGTTGCCAGCCTACACAGTAGGCTGTTCCCGTTTCCCCCCCTAAAAGCCAGAAAGTGAACTAGTTTCTCTAGAGTTAAAAATTGTCAATTTCAACCTCACAACACAAGTGAACAAACATTTTTAATTTCCAGAGCGATAAGGTTATCTCCCAATTTTAGATATACTACTAACAACAAAACATCATAATAAATAATGCCTAGAAGTCTCAGCTACTAACATTATGCCTACCTTGCATAAGAAGTATATTAAGTTTTATTTATAAATGTATGCATGCACATAAAGAATTATGAAACAGTAGTTGTTGTATATTAGGAATTGCTTACAAAGTCTACAATCTTAAGCATAAGTGAAACAAGGGCTCTATAGAGGTTTCTGAAAAAAAGCTTGTTATATGGGATGCACACTCACTACTCTCAAAAATAGGATAAACTTTGGTGTTACTTAACATGCATTTATCCCCAGAGTGTGCGGTACCTGTTTCAGATCATATTTAGGACAATCGAAGCTGAGTTTTGAAAGGGTTTTGTTTTAAAGCAATTCATTGCACACGTCTTCTGGATTTGCCATTAAATTTCACTAACATCCAAGATGCTACAATGAAACCATCCACGATGACTATTCATACGCTTCCCACATTCATCTATTTACACAGCCAACCTGGTGCATCAGTTCTCCCTAAAACAGACATGCGTGTTGCACACCAGAGCTTTGGAAACAAGGAATGGTTCACAGGTGTGCCTGTATACTATCTTTGTGTCCGTGAGATAAAATCCCGCACAAGAAAGAAGGATTTACAAAAAGCAGTTTTTCACATTGATGCACATCAAATACTATTCTCGAATATGTCTGGCATCTTGTTCATGTTAAAAAGGTGTCTGACCAGCTGGCACATTGTGTAGAATTTTGCCGACAACTTTGTCCAGATGGTCTGCCATTCTCCATTCAGGACAAATAGGCTGTGATGACATTTCTTAAGGTGCGTAGATATCAGCACATTCATACAGTGGGATTAATGTAGAGCAGTCTTAGGTCACATCGCAGCAGGGACCATGCACATGGGACTGAGAATACACTCTGTTTAGCTTGCTGACGAGGTTTCTGGCTTTGGTTCTGGTTTCGCCTTTTCAGGGCTTGCTTTTTTTCTTGCCTCTGCATCTGAAATAAAGAGACATTTCCTCATAAAATTCTCGTGCAGACACTACAGTTCTGAAAAGAACATTCTAAATGACACATCATCAGGGTTAGGCAGTATTGTGATTCAAGATCATTGTGACAGTACTTCGAAAATATATTTGGATCTATATTTTTGTGTTGGAATGCAATTTCTGTTTGGTATTTGTAATTATGTTCAAAGAACACTGTGAAAGCAGCACAGACTCGTTTTTTCTCTACACAATCAAAGGAAGGTATTGCATTGTCTTTGGGGAGTAGAAAACACTACCCTACAAGGAACAACACAAACTGTCTGCTTAGTCTTAGCTAGTGCAACACCTTGAGAATTTTCGTCAGTCTCGAAAAACGAAGGACTATATACCTTGTGCTGCTCTCTCCTGCCACAAGCTGCGGTTCTCCTCCAAGTACTTGACCCATGGCCTTTTCAGCTCCCGGTTGGAGGTCGAGTACGGGTTGGGTGAGCGCGGAGATGATGGTGCACTGCCGCTCTTCCCAGTGCCGACGGCCCCCTCACTGCCATTGTTGGTGACCGTTGTACTGGACGCTCGAGGCATCCGTATCGCAGACAGCGAGCGCTGCCGACCTTTGCCTGATTCACCCTCTGTGCGATGCACCAGAGAAGCATAGTGATGGCACACAAATGTCAAGTTCTGGTTCTAAAAAGTAACTCGATTTTAGTGCGGTGTAATGAGTGAAGAAATATTTTTGTTCATTGTCTTAAGAAGTTTGAAAGTTGTGTACCCTATTCTACACTCTTTCATCAGAAATTGGGAATGGTGTTGAAAAGGCATGGGCAAGAATACAGATGGAGAATTCAAACACACACACACACAAGTTCTTGCGTTCACTTCATGCAATTAGACAGATATACATTGTGGAGTGCGTTTAGCTGTGTTCAGCCAGCGGCTGAGATAACGTGTAATATACACGATGCATACAGCTAACTTAAAAATGAGACACCTGGAAGCGTTACACTGAAAGTCTATATGTCACTAAGAAACTTGCCTTTTTCAGAGACCTGAAAATACCAAGTTTTGTAACGACAGATAGGCTGCCACTCTGAAGCTTCCAGGAGACTCTTTTTCGAGTCCTTCCTACAACCTTTGATCATTCTTATGTTTCGATAGAGCTTTTATGAATCTAGGTATCCCAAGCAGCACGGATTTTGGCCAAGCAATGGCCAATGTCTGGCGATGGTCTTTTGGTCAGTGGCCAGATAGTGGCCATTCATTGGCCAATGCTTGGCCAATGGCTGATGGCCAGTGGCCAATGGCCAGATAAAGGCCAGTCACCGGCCAGTCTCTGGCCACTGTCTGGCCACTTGGCCAAGGACCCTTGCTAACCATTGGCCGATGACTGGCCAACTCTGTGCTGCTTGAGAAGTAACAAAAGGTTTAAGATTAGTTAAAATTTGTTCAAATTTAGTTTCAAGAAACACATAACTTTGGCTTTCGGTTTGTTTAATGCCAAAGGGTCAATCAACTCTGACTCTAAAGATTACATTTGGAACTGAAACTGATGAACAAAAATAAATTATGAAAATCATGTACATAAGTTATTTCAATACAACCAGGGACTGTTCTCATGGCATGAAAAAACTCGGCTACCTGTGCTCTTGTTCTCGAAGCCTTCTTCAGATATACTGTCATCGGAGGGCCTTTGAAGCTGCAGCAGAATTTTCTCCAGAAGATCTCCACAAACGTCCATGGTTGGATTTAAAATGAAATCGATGAACCCTGACGAAATTGAACGCATGAACAATGTTATTAAACATAGAAATGTCGCTAAAGTTTAATCACATCAATGTTTTTACTTAGCAGTAAAATGGGATAACTCGTGTAAAAGGAGAACATTTTTGCTATTTCCTTTTTTGTTGTTTCATTCCTGTTGTGTAGGGCACTTGTAAACTCGCATCGAGTACAGTCACATTCAGGGTGAAGAATAAAAATTTAAGATGATTTAAATCGTGATTTATATTGTAATTTAGATCACACCGGTTTTACTATGATCATTTATATCAAGCTTTCCCACAGAAATAATCCCCCAAAATACTATTTATTTCCTGCTTGTCTATCTCTTGATGTTTTCTATGCACACTTGTTTAGTAATAAAATAAAATAAATAAAATTAATACGCAAAAAGTTCAAAGCAGGTTGAATACACGCAACTCTTCTGAGCAAATCAAAGTGTCTAGCTAAATTTGTATATTCCACTTCGTTTGTGAGTTACATAATGTAACTACTGCAAGCAAACCAAAACGCGACACTAAAACAGTAATGACTATGCAAGAAATCAGAATGAAAAAACAAACAAATGCAGATTTTTTAGTAACTAAAAAAATAAGCTGCTTTTGTCGTAGTATATAAGTTCTAAAAATAAAAAGTTGTTAAGCGGTGCTTAACCAGTTTAAATGTATAATAATCTTTCTTCCATATTGTTTTCAGTGATCGAAAGGATTGATGAATCACTTTGTCATGTTTAAAAATACATATAGTGATAAAGAATTACTTCTTCTAGCTACAGTAACTTAAATCATATTAATCAGATTAAATACATTTGATTTAAATCAAATTAACCTGGATTATTTAAATAAAATTATTATTTTTTATCCTGCCCACACTTGACATGTCGCCCTTCTCAGTGTCATTGGTTTCTGGTAGGATAGAAACCATATAGTTTCATTGGGTTTTTGGAAGATCACTGCATTTATGAACAAAGCATAAACTCGTTCCTTGGTTCATTATAGTGGTCTGAGCAACATGCCAAAGCATAAAACGCCAGTTGGGCATCTGTGAAAGGCAAAATAATAACTAAAAGATAATTTTATATATAATACACTGGGTTAATGACCACAAATAAACTACAAAGACCTCCCCCCCCCAAAATGACATCTTTTGTGGAAATATGAGTGATTAGAAAGCTTAATTGTGAGCATTCATTAGCACATGTGAGAGTAACCTTGACTTAGTTGTAGAAAACTAATAAATGAAGTTTGGGAGAGTTTTGTCTTTTATGGGGCAATGAACTTTGCATTTAGTGCCACTGACAAGGAAGATGAGGAACTATCATCCATTAGCCAGGGTGATGAGATATTAATGGGCGGAAAAGTACTTTGAGAAAACGTCAAATACCAAATTAATCTTCGATCAGTTACCAATATCAACCACACAAGATTTTTTAGCACTCGTGTATTAATGTCAACATAATAGAGCCACATATAATGTTATTTCAGCCAGACTTATACGTAATCCGTTACAAGTAACGAAATTACTTGTAATCCATTACATTTATCGGTAATTCAGTAATGGAAAAAATACATATTTTCTAGAGTAATTTTAAAGTAATTCCTTTACATTTTTTACGTAACGGGTTCGTCGTAATCCGTTACATTCTTTTTCAGGACCAACCAGCCCTTCTAAAGAAAAGGTCGTTTTTATTTTGGTAAAGTTGAGCGCAGTGACACTGTCACGCGATTTGATCAGCACAAAGGGAGGCTTGGCACTCTTCAGTTCCAGAAAGGCTTTTTTTGCAACCAAGCCCCTGAATTTATTTTTTTACACCCTAACAACAATGTAAAAATATCCAAATAAACATTTCTAAAAAAAAAGAGGAGGGGGGCAAGGCATATCTGCTTTTTTTTAGTCCCTTTGTTCTTCTCTTTGCGATCGAAGACGGGGAGAGGAGGACACCAAGTGATTGTGTGCCTCTTCGAGAAGATCGAGGCGATCAGTGCAGAGACAAGGATTAACAATATCCTTCTCGGTTATAGTGACTACGACCATTTTCATAATGTCACAACACGAAACAACGCTCCGTCTGCCCTAAAATCCACTAAAAGGGATGTGGTAATATGTGAAGGTGTTATTGCCACAAACATCCTCGTTCGTTGCTGCGCACTTATCTTCTCTTAGAAAACAGGATGTATTCTTTTCTGCTTCTCTCACCTTATTTGACCCTGTTTTAAAAGGTACTTATTTTTTCTAGTTAAACTTCTAGGGTTGGCCCACTTTATTTGTGAATTCCAGCCAGGTTATCTGCGTCTCAGTCACCGTTTTTGTGAGTTACCCTTTTTGCGAGTCAGCTTTTTGCGAGCACTTCGAAAATGGTAATAGTCTTCCTTTTTTCTTTCTGTTTTTACCCCAGCAGGATGCATCTTATATCAGACAGATATTTTTACAAATAAAACATAATGGTGACTGACGTAGACTTGATATTCTGGGCTTGAGGAGAGAGTGAAACTCATGAGTGGGGCCATAGTGTGGCTTACTTAGAACTCTAGCCTTCACTGCCCGTGGCATCAGCGGACGTCTATCTGGAGAGCACTGGAGTAAACTGCAGTCGGTCCGTGCTCCGTGCGTTTTTGAACGGCACCAAGAAAGGTACACACAGCAAACGTGCGTTTACATTTTCTTGTTTTAACTAACGTTCTAATTAATTGTATTTATGAGTGTCCCGTTTTTTTTTCGATTACTTATATAGTGGAAACTCTTATTCACCAACGTCTCAACCGAGGTTCGACCTGTTTAGAACCAAAGAAAAAAGAATATCGAGCCAAACATAATTTATTATTTAACTATCACCTCACTGTTACCAACTCTACTAAAACTCTCGAATATCAGGCAACGGCTGCAACGATGAAGCTGTGCTCTATCTTCGAGCGAAATAGTACTTCCATTGCTTCGCTGAAAAAGCTCAATGCAGAGCATTAAACATTCGTGAGGCACAATATGGCACTCCCATCCAGTGCCTCAGTTCAAAGGGTGTTCAGCGTAGCAGTCGACATCTCCCGTAAGAAATGACGCAATATGTCTGACGAGACTTTCGAGAGCCAGCTGTTGCTCAAAATACTCAAGGCCAATAAATGGAACAGGTGGGAACAATAAGAACTTGAATAACCTTCTTCCTTTTGTTTCTTAATTGAGGAAAATATTGTTGAAAGTAACGCCACGAAAGCAACAGATTACTTTTGGGGGTAACGGTCACATATTTTTATAACAGGGTGATTGTAATTGTAAAAAATTACAATTTAGCCTTGAGAAATTGTAAATGTAATTCCTTACTATTTTTCAGTAACGTGTACAAGTCTGATTTCAGCTGTATAAACATAAATGGTTGTCACTTTTTGTTGAACTAATTGTGCCGTTCCAACCTTTTGTGAGTGGATATGAGATTTCTGATTTGTTTTGAATAAAATTAGATAACAAAACTAAACTAAGAATGATTTCTTATATTTCATTTAATCAAATTCTCACACTTCATTATTATTTTTAGCAAGTTTCTGTGAACCTCCAGCTAAGATTTAAACTTGAAATATACATTTTGTTCAATCCACAAATATGTTATAACCTCAAATTAAATTCTCCTTTGAGTAGTTGTGCTCTCCGTTTTAGTGAATCTCGGGGATCCTATATGTTTTTCAATAGCTTCCTATTTTACCTTTTTAGAGAAGGAAACTAGGTAAGCTGGCATTAGTTCAAAACGAATTAATGTTATTGAAATTACAATTATGAAAAGTGAAATTGCTCACATTCCTACGGCAACACTAAAAGCAGAAAAGAAAGAAATACCAATTTGCGAATCGGCGATGAGTGTCGTGTTCCTGTCACAAAGCGGTGAGTATGTGAGTCCAAGCACTTTCTCCTTATCACCCTGAAATAAACCAGAAATTGAGATTGGGGAGCTTGCCTCACCTCATTCAGTAAAGCGCGAGACACATGCGCGAAAAATCCATCCGATCCGACGTCCGATCCGGCAATGCGACTGCCTGATCCGAAAAATTTGGTCGCATCAGACGTCGGATCGGCGATCCGACGCGCGTCCAACGCGCCAGATACTTTCGCACGGCGGACGGATTGTCGGATGCGTCCAGCCAATGACAGCACAGCTAGCGCGAACGTCATGATGACGCACTGGGTCTGGCGGGACGAAGCGAACGCGATAACGGGACAGGCGAGGGGAAGCCGGACGCGTGAATCCCGCCGACCCATTCGAGAAAGATGGCCCAGCAAAGAATGCACGCGCTATTGAGAACGAGCTCGTAATTTCGCTCGTGCTTGTTGAACCGTCAACCTGGGACCAGAGATGACCTCCGGAGTCCGCTGGAACGCTTGGATCTCCTGGGTCCTGGGCGGAGCCGAACGGATCGTCGTGTCGCATGCAAGGTCGGAAGCGTGTGTCTCAAACTGTGGCGTGCGGCAATTCGGAGCGGCGTTCGGACTGTCGGATCGGGTGTCGGATCGGACGATTCTGTCGTCCATGTGTCTCGCGCTTAAAGCACAAAAAGAACCACACAATGTGAAATGAAAGAAGCTAGAACAATTCAAGTTCATTCATTTCATTCAAAGGCTCAGTGAAGCCACCAAAAATACCTACCGGTATTTATAGAATACAGGGCGTTTTTTTTAAGCTTTACAGATTTGTTTAAAAAAAGCCGTGAAATTTAAACTTAAGTGGTTTGTGCAGGTGAGTTATACAACCAGGGGGACATTATGTGGGTGGCTTATCTTTGCGATAAGTCGGATAATGAATTAAAATTCGTTAATTAACTTTTTAATTAGTGAAAATAGTCATATGGTTTCAATTAGAAACTTACTGAGCGTCATTGAAAACCACTAAATCAACTCTTTTTTGAACGGCTTGAAGCTCGTGGGAAACTCGGGGGCGCGCCAAAGTTGCCACTCTTGAAGCAGGCGCAAAGCTAGCAGGGGCGGAACGCGGATGATAAGATTATCATAGCGTTCCGCCACTGCTAGCTTTGCGCCTGCTTCACGAGTGGTAACTTTGGCGCTCCCCCGAGTTGCTTACGAGCTTCAAGTCGTTCTAAAAAGAGTTGATTTAGCATTTTTGGATGACGCTCAGTAAGTTTCTAAATGGAACCATGTCTTTTTTCACTAATTAAAAATAATTAACACATTTTAATTAATTTGCTGACTTATCGCAAAGATTAGCCACCACATAATGTCCCCCTGGCCGTATAACTCACCTGCACAAACCGCACAAGTTTAAGTTTCATGGCTTTTTGAAGCAAATCTTTAAAGCTTAAAAAAGCACCCTGTATAGTACAACCATATATAGGAGTCTGTTAGTGTCGTCTTAATATCTATTTTTTTGGCCCTTCAAGCACAGCTGCATTGCTCTAACAATAATTGAATGCTGTAAAAGTTTAACAACACTTGATGTTGGGCTAGTTGGAGCATGATTCTAAGGAAACTTGTAGGTGCAAACAAAGATGAACACAAAGAACGGGACAGGGACAAGCACCTGTCCCTATCCCCTTCCTCCTGTGCGTCTCTGTTTGTGCTTACAAGTTTTCTTAGTTTAGTAAAAGTGCTGATTATAATTTTCCAATCTGAATACTTTACCTTTTATTATGACGAGAATATTGCTTTGCGTTGGACGACGTTGTAGCGCACTAAAAAAACTGTCACTCACGCTTTCACACACACACACAAGGAACAAAACTCACACGCAGCGCTCACTAACAGCTTTGTATTGCGTGATTAACTTCTGTTCTACTTCTACTTCAATTTGAGACGATTTTCAAGTAGAAAAAGACGAAAAATAAAATGGCAAAAAATTCCTTTCTAACGCTTAGGCAAACTTACGGCTAAATGACCAATCTTTCTTTGAGATAATATTATAGACGGTGTACTAACACATTTGTCCTCCATTCGTATTATGTTCTTGGCTTCGATAATTTCCTTTGTTAATTGGTGGACACTTTTGCGTAACACGGTGCTGTTGTTGAAATGTGCCACACACCCATAATCCCGACAGTGTATTCCTAGGTGGCCAGAGTTCGCGTTGACGATGTTGTTGTTGTGTTCACGAAGGCGGTCATTAAAGGGGAACTCCACCGATTTTTTGATAGTCTTCGATTTGGCTGAAAATTGGCAGACCGCATCAATAACCCTTTCTCAAGTGAGAGCCAAAATATTTGATAAAAAAAAAAATCTTCCGCGAAGTTATTGAATGTTTATGTTACACCAGCGGGTTGCAGGAGGCGGCCCTCTACTGGCAACAATGAAAAATCCCTACTTTTCCCTACCTGCGTGTACGTCACGGGTGGGCAGGCGGACGAGCGACCCGGGCAGCCGCGAAGTGGCTTTCCGGGCGCCAGCAATAGAGATCATTTTTTCGCAGCTTCAAGGTTAAAAGTTCCTTTGCAAAGGTTAGACATCTGTGCTCCGCGGTTGATTGTAGAAGCAGTGCGGAAAAAGGCTTCTCTTTTGCCCTTGTTTTCGTGGGAGAAACAAAATGCGCTCCCCGGCAGCAATGGAGGGCAGCCACGTCAAGGTGCATGCTTTTGCGCGAGCTGTGTGACGAGAAAACTAGTGTCACGTGGAACATTGTCATTTATGCTCTGAATACTTCATAGCCGCGTGCTGCGAGTTGAGTATCCTTCTGCAGTTGAAACAGCTTCAAGAACGGCAAGCGCGGACTAAAGCCAGCTGTGACCACTACGACATCCATCCAAAGAGGAGTGCTAATAATATCGAAAAAAAAAATAGTGCACATTGTAGCATTATAGTCGACATTTAGCGATGTCACAATTGTTCCTCAGAATTGCTTCAGTGATTTCTATTTTTTTCATAAACATTATATTTGTTATGGACAACGAATCTAGTTCGTGCTACTCTCGGAGTTTCACTCACGCCGTCAATCCTTTGAAAACTAGTAGAGAAACGTCTAAAAAAGTTCAAGTCTGAGTTTAGATATGACTTTACACATATTGCTATTCGTGTCTGGGATTACAGAGGCTTATCGAACAGGTGTTGATATCCATTAATATACGAAAGAGTCGGTGCCTGGTTTGTCAACTGGTTGACGTGCAATGTCCTCTCGCAGAAGAGGTAGTGGAAACATCTTTATTCTATTGCAGAGAAATGTTATATAGGGCTGAAAAGCGTTTTAAAACTATGAAAATGATTAATGGCGTTGAGGGGAGGCATGCAAATTTACATCTGGTGGAAACTGTGCAAAACCAAAACTTAATTTTAAATCTTCTATAGATTTACCTCTTTCTTACGTGCACTCGTGGATGACAGTTTGAGCGCGTTGCATTCTACTCCGTAAAATATATATGTATATATATTGTTACAAAGGTGTTTTTTATTTGTAACTTTTGTTAACTTGAGCAATGCGGATTTTTAAACGAGTTGGTACTGAAACTTTGAGAACATAATAGCGTTTCAAGACAGGGACGAGAGTAGGAACGAGACAACACTAGCCCATTGTGTTGTCTCGTTCCTACTCTCGTTTCTGTTTTGAAGCGCGATTATGTTCTCAAAGTTTGTTAACTTATCTTAAATTAAAAATATGATGATCCATTTCTGTACTTTACACACTATTGTATCTTAGAGCAATTTTTTTTTATTATTTCGAGATGAATAGTGTATTTGTGTATTTTCTACGCCTCTCATTGCACCTTGATGTTTGGCTCGGTAGATGCGGAGTTCTTTCAATTTTCATTTTAGCACGATATTCATGAACCAGTAACCAGCCATCCGGCTTACACGAATGCGGTTTATTCCATTCCATACATTTCATTGTTTGCGAGAATCACAGTCTAGGAGTGTTAGTTTAGAGCCCAGCGCGCGCATGTTGGCCGCTTTGAAATGCGAGCAAAGCATGCGCCACTTGCACAAACGCTGAAAATTGCGCCGACCAGAAGCGTTTTTCTGGAATGGTCATTAGATACTCTTCTAAATTAAACAATCACCAAGGAGAATATGCATCTTACAAGAGCGGTTACACGTGCTGGCGTCTGTAACAGAAACTTCTCTAAAGAAAATTTGAAACAAATCGCACGTTCCTTCAGGTAACACGAGCGTGTGGGGCATCCGAGCATTCTCCGTGGTGTTTGAGAAATTTGTCAAAAAATGTATTGCTTGACTCGTCGAAATTTCTTCGCCAGCGTAACTGCCGGCTTCTGATAAAAGGATAACAAATTTGCTAGCAATTCCACGAAACTAGCGAGCCGTGGCTTGAGCGTATCGAGTTGCAAAAACGATTTTCTCAGAATCCCAATTGCTTCCCTTTTTTTTTTTTACTTTCTCATAGTTCAGCATGTACGCCAAGGTCGTACTTTGTGCAACTAGAAATCATTATAGCACGAACGCCCCTGTTTTCTTGCTATTTGACGCGAGAAAGGCGGCCGCGAGCGTAGCCGATTGCCGGCCGCGCGCATCGCTGCCCACCGATGACGTCACGTTTGGATGACGGAGAAAACCAGGGAAAAACTGGGGAGAACGATGCATTGGTTTTGGCAGAGAACAAAATATTACTTTTTTAATTAGCTAGAATGAATCTGGAGGAACGAGATAGCATTTTGGAATCAGGAAGCCATCCGCATTCAGATGATGCCTTTGGATTAAGTAACTCAAAAATAGGCGGAGTTCTCCTTTAAAGGGGTACGGAAACGAAAATTGAAATATACAAATTTTGTTCGGAAATGAGTCAAGCATGACGGATAATAACCGTATATGATAATGGGACGTTTATATTTTGAACGAATGGCTATATTTTTCGTTCCAAACGGTGCAGTCAAGCAAGCGCTCAAAGATAAGCGAAGGGAAAAAGCGATGCGTCATGACATACCCGGCGAAAAAAAAGAAAGAAAAAAAAAAAGATTTTCCGCACTTGTGACGTAGCAAGGCTGGCAGGGTTATGAGCATTGCCGTTGGCGGCGTTGTCAGCGTTGTGGACGCGTTGCAACCGAGCATTCGAAGTGCCCGTGGTGTGACGAGCGTTTCACGTGTGAGACCAGTCGTACGCGTCGTGTTCGTGTGGCCCACTCCAATGGGGCTTCAGGACGATGTCGTTGGGTACATTAACTTGATCGACACAAGTGCGGATGAGAACATCGACACCGCCCTCCCTGTATTCATTTTGGAAAGCGAGCAGCAAACGTCGTAACCCACGTGGAAACGACGGACGCGCGAGCCGGATCCACAGGGCACGAAGTTTGTCGTCGTTTGGAAACCTGTTGATCAGCATATCGTTGTTGATCAAGTCGTTACCACAGTTCTCAGCCATGCAGAAACTCGGCGGCATCTCGAAGTTAAAAAGCGCAGAAGCTTCAAACTGTACAGCAAAGTCACAGGAACAACTCGGCAACTTTCCTCAACGAGTCCATCATGGCATCTCGTTGGCTTCCTTCGCAAAGGGGCAAAGCGCACGGGCAGAGGTTTCGCAATCGCGTTCAGGCCGAGATAACTTGCAGCAGTTGAACGTACTTCCAAAGTGCAGCTCTGCTCCGATGTTTACAGCGGCTACGTAACAGTTCCTGCTACGTCATGACTACGTAGCAAGATTCCCAACGTTGCTAGATTACCTCCCAGCTAAGCTTCACAGGCATACACCTGGCGCACATTAAAAAATCGTTTATTTAGCTTCAAATTAAGTTTTCTTGTGCCTTTCAACGAAAAACTGGTGCTTCTGAGGTTATGGTGCAACATGCAACACCTTTAAGGCCAGGGTCCCACTGAATGTGGCAGTTCAGGTACTTTTTGGCAGGTCATTACTCATCTTATTTTGAACACTGTTTTGTAAGATTGATGTCGTTCGAAAGGCAATGCAATCCTCTTTCGTTTGATATTATGTATGTATTGGTTTATACTGTTCATGCGCATTTGTAGCGTTGCGAATATGATGGCGCGGACCCTCACTTGCTCCGCTGGTATATGTTTCATGAACGATCTATTAAAGATAACGCGGTTCCAGTAAAGCAGTTTTGTTAAAATGATGTCGGAGCAGAATGTAACGATATGCTTTTTTTTGGTATTTGCACTACGTTGTTTTGTCCATCTCTCAAAATATTGCCCTAAAATTGTAATTTTCCAGCAAAAATATGTTTTTAATGACATATGCCAGCGCAATGAAATTAGCTACAGATGTAGTGCTTATAATTGGTAATATGCAGAGAAAGATTTAATGTTGTGTAAATTTTTTTTGTTGTCTAGATATTCTTTATCAAACGCAACACTTTTTTGTGCTTCGAGTCACGGTGCTTAAAATGCCGCTGAGGAAATAATTAAACTATGATAACATCTTTTATAACATTTAAAACTACAATGGTTGCCCAAGAAGTGGACGATGGCTTTTCTTCATTTTCAAAGTCATAACGCTCCAGGAGCTCTTAAAACTTACCTGTTTCTAAAGCATATGTTTTATGGACATAAAACATATTTATTGGAATCTAATAATATTTATTGTATGGAACAGATATACAATGCGATGTATTCGATTTTGACAATAATCTTGATGGAACTTAACCCGAGACTGGGGTAGAAACAGAAACTTAAAAGTAGAAGGGACAGGAAGAAGGGAACGTCTCAAACCCAGCTAAAAGATTTATTTAGTCCCACATCCTTATATACTCACAACCACAAGGTCACCCAAACACTCAACATGCCCCTTTCAAAGACACAACACACCAGGAGAAAAAAAACAAACAAAAAAACCCAAGTTTTTTTTTCTCCTGGTGTGTTGTGTCTTTGAAAGGGGCAGGTTGAGTGTTTGGGTGACCTTGTGGTTGTGAGTATATAAGGATGTGGGACTAAATAAATCTTTTAGCTGCGTTTGAGACGTTCTCTTCTTCACTTGTCTCTGTCCCTTCTACTTTTAAGTTTCTGTTTCTACGCCAGTCTCGGGTTAAGTTCCATCATGGTAAATATCCACCAGCTTGCCTGTACTTTAACCGTTTTTTCAATAATCTTGCTTTGGTTTCTTGATAGGTGTAGAGCTTAGCTAATTTTAAAAACAAAATTTGTTTGGGTGTTTTGTTGCGCTACCCGCCGGATGGCAGATGAAACTGCTGATTTCTAATGTTCAAGAAAGTTTCGAGGGCGGCATTGACACCAATAAGAAAACAGACTACCCTGTTTTCTTATTGGTGTCAATGGTTGAAACTATCCTTAAAGAAGTGAAGCAAGGGAGCTGCGTCAAGCATACACACAGCGACAGGATAAGAAGACCAGTCATCGTTCCGTACATCCACAATTTTTCTCATGGCCTTAAGAAAACAGCGACAGAGTGAATGTTGATATCGTGTTTTTAAACTCCCAAAAAACTTTCCAGCCTGTGCAAAAACGTGACCACACCATCAAATCGAGCGATCTGCTACTCCAAGAAACATAGAACGAACTTTGTGCCTTGCGTTGAGGGGGTTGTCTATTCATTCCCCCTTTTCTGCAGAAGACAACACGTAGGACAAACTGGGCGGTGTCTTAATGACCGCATTCGCGAACACTATAAAAACATAGTCAACGCGAACTCCAGCGAATTAGGAATACACTGTCGGGATTATGGGTGAGTGGCACATTTCAACAACAGCACCGTGTTAGGCAAAAGTGTCCACCAATTAACAAGGGGAATTATCGAAGCCGAGAACATCACACGACTGGAGGGCAAATGTGTCAGTACGCCGTGTATAATATTATCACAAAGAAAGATTGGTTATTTAGCCGCAGGTATGCCAAGCGTTAGAAGGAAATTTTTTGTCTTTTTAGTTTTCGTCTTTTTCAATTTAAAAATTGTCTCAAATTGAAGTAAAAGTAGACGCAGAAGTTAATCACGCAATACAAAGTTGTTAGTGAGCGCTGTGTGAGAGTTTTGTTCGTAGAGTGTGTGAAAGCGTGAGTGACAGTTTTCTTAGTGCGCTGCAACGTCGACCAACATGAACAACCAACTCGCCCAATCTGAAGTTCAATGGCTTTGTGGATCAGTTGTTAAATTTAATTTGATTCTGCAGCCATATGAAATACCTTGATGCAATTGCAGTGACACTACTACTACAAACTAATCATGCTGTACTGAGCTAGAAACACAAATGTGGGAGCTTTACATTTCATCTGTTGTCAATCACTGGTGCATTTTACAAGCTTTGTGCAACACTTGTACCAAGAGCTTGATGGTGATAAAGCTGTGATAAAATCATGATCATAATTAGGAATATACATGGAGACACCAGAACTTTTTATGGAAAGAAATCTAGCAGTTGCTGTTGTTCACAAAGCTCCTGGCTAAAAGTAAAGAGCTCTATTGTACTTACTGAATATAGATAGACTCAGAACACAGATGACCCTTATACTAAAGAACTTGGCGAGAAAAATAAAGAATATAAGAGTCGAGGTCGACCCTAAATCTAGAGAAGTAGAAGGAAACGAAATCTATACAAGCACTTATTGAAGAGCCTTCCTAGTCACTCCAGCTGAAACTCGCTAGTCGAGTGTGCCGGCCACGTAAACGTCGGAATATCCATAACCATAAACCACGTGCTTCCACATGATTCCACACCTTGGTCCTAGCATTGCGCCGTTCGCGTCGCGCTTCACCACTTAACACCAGCGCTCTCGTGTCATGCTTCATTGCTTTACACCACAGTGCGCATTATCCTTCACCGATTTGCACCGGCGTACCACAGTGCGCATTATCCTTCACCGATTTGCACCGGCGTGCCCGGAGAAGCGGCTGAAACAGCGAGCATATCGAGGGATCGGAAATTCTGCTTGCTATTATAGGTCAACATTCTTTGGTTACGATTATAAGCTGATCCCTAATTTTAAAGACAAAACTAAAAAAAAAGAAATAAAAGAACAAAACACTGCGACCTATATTTGAATAAAAACGGTACTTCTGTTGAAGTACTCCTGTTGTAACAAAACTCAGTTCTCTAGTTGAACACTTTTTTTTCGCTTGCAACGCGTGAGGAGACGATTTAGAAAAGACACATGAAACTAGATAGTTACTTCAATTAGACTTCTGCTCGACATGGCAGTTTTCTGGGTCATTTACAAATTTCTCCGAGTCCCCAATTCAAGATGCTTTCACCTCATTAGCGCTAACCTGATTTATGTGCTGCACCAAATTCATATTAAAAAAAAAGTTATATATATTTACATCCTTTCACTTTCTGTGTTGTAAAGGAGAAGTATAATCACAAAATACGTCGATGGCGCTCCACTAATTTGCGTGAATCATGAGTGCGACCTTGATTAGCTATGCTCTGCACTAACGGCTGGGGGCGCCATCGTCATTATCTGATTTAATTCCCGTATGAGCCACGCGGGAAGGAAATTATTAGTGTTAACTTGTTAACTTTGACACAATTTCTTTCATTCTCAGACATTTCCACCCCTCCCCATGGGCTCTATGATAAATCTTTCAGTGCGCTTTTTATACAAAAGGGCAGCCAAAAGGTACAGTAAAAAAAAAAAAAAAAAAACATTTTGTGCATCTTTTCAAAATTTTGTATTTACACTGGCGCCAGGACGAGATGAAGTTTAGTAATATTACATTAAACAGTGGTCATGGGGGCGAATTTCCGGCTAGTCGGAGCCCTGCTCTCACAAATATGGAGACATGTTAGCAAAAAATCGCAAGACGTGAAGGATTTTGCTCTAAATGAGGGGGCATCCGAAAGACCCACCTGTTGGAAAAACTCCTCCATGAGGAGATAGGTCCACCTGTGGTGGAGTCTCCACTCTTTGCTCGGGTGACTGATGTCACAGCAGTGAAGAATGAGGGACAGAGCTTTGGCCTTGTCTAGGCTGCATCATAAGAAAGAGTGATAGTGAGGACTGATACAGTGATGATGATACTTTGGAGCCATGATATCCAAAAACTTTATGCACGAACCAAAGAATAACCCTGAAATAGTAGGCATTTTTATGAAAAAAAAAGTATTACCCAAAGCTCTGGTGTGTAACCCTGAATCATTAAATGGTTTTACTAAAAAAAACGGAAATGAATAAGGTTAAAAAATGTATCGACAGTAGTCAGATTGTGGAGGTGCTTGAGGCAATCCAATGACTAACTCTATTAAGCTCAATCTGAAGTAAATGAAAAAAAAATATCGAATAAATTGTATCAAGAAAATTGACCTTTGAGTAGACAAGTAGGTAAATACTATACGTATGCCCCCTTTTACTAGGCATATATAAAGAAACAGCAAGTAACAAGTGAATTTATATATAATAATAATAAAAAATGTTGTGTATTCAAGTTCTCGCGCCCCGGTCCTCGCCGAGGAGTCGCACATATTGGGGTTCCCCCAGGTTGCACCAGATGGAACCACGCGTCCGGAGAGCACCGAACCGGGCGCGTGTCAAGTTACGTTTGCGCGTGCCTCGCGCGCCTGCGGACCCTGCGCCCCGCGAGACCGCGCGCGCCCCCGCCGAGCGATGGAGCGACTCTCCACAATGCAATCCCCGCCAGCCAAACGGGCTGGTTATATACTCTAATAAAGTTATGTTCTTGCGTAGCAAGGACCCCCCTCCCCTCCTCCCCCCCAAAAAAAGAAAAACAACAACAAAAAAACAAAACAAATAAAACTATGAAACTTTTATGAACCTGATGGTTTATTTATGTATTTCCTCCCTTAGGGAATGGACAAAAATCACCTAAACATAACGTATACAGAAAAAAATATGCAGGTGAATATAAAACAAACAAAACATCTAAATACACTCACAAAACTATTTAGAGGCAGATAAACAGAACATGCAACTGTTAATCCGAACACAAAACAAACTCACAAATGGCATCTTAAATTCGGCCCTTTCGACTACGTGGACAAAGGTGCTGGAAGGCGATTCCAATAAAAAAATGTGGGTATAAAAGACTGATTAAACCTTGATGAGTGACTTTATTTCGATGATCGACACGTGAGTAGAGGTAAGATGGTTGTGTTAAGAGATGCTGACGTAATGAAGGGTTATGTTGGTAGGCCTTATGAAATAAGCAAAGCCGGGATACTTTACTGCAGAGGGAGAGGTCAGGCAGGCCATAAAGTCGTTTTCATTGCTGTCACGCTTGATGGGCGATGATAGTTGTGTAGTATAAAACAAACAGAACGGTTTTGAACGGCGTCTAGTTACAATGCAAAAGTTAGAGCAGGATCCTAGATAGTGACTGCAAATTCGAACTTGCTGCGAACAAAGGATTTATAAAGGAGCAGTTACAAGGACACCGGTGCAAGAGAGAAGTTTATTTTGAGGAGGCCGAGCATGCGGTTAGCCGTGTTAGTTACATATTCATTACGAGCATTCCACGTTAGGTTAGTTATGTGTACGCCAAGGTATTAATATGATGATACACAATATCATACAAAACTTTCGATGTGGTAAGGACAAGTGCTATTTTGATGTGATACTCTCATGGATTTAGACTTGCTAATGCTAACTTTCATTTGCCATCTAACACACCAGGAAGAAACATTGATAAGGTCAGTCTGATGTGACTGAACATTAGAATATTATAAATTTAAGATAATATTATAAATATTAGAAAAAAAAACTTAGAATCACTTGCCTGAAGTCATGATGACTGAGAGCTGTCTTCATTGTTTTCACTTGTTGAAAGTGAGACGTCATGTCTGTTGCTAAAACCATTTCGATTACTAACATGCGGAACTCTCTGGAAACAGAAGGGCCCAAAAGTAGTAAATCACTTATTCATTTAGCTTTACTACAACACCAACAACAAAAATGACATAGCATGTATAATATTTGCACGATAAATGTAAATATGCCAACAGTTCAATGACAATAAAGACGGCGTAAGAAGACAAAATTGCTTGCACAGTGCCCTGTTTACCGCATACATTTCTACTTCCTACAGCTTATTTTTTCGATTTTCAGAAGGAGCAATGCAATGGGGTGTTAAATAGCTTTGAAGGTCTCTAGACATGCTGGAAACCTATAAATTGAAGTTACAAGACAAGAAGACCTGGGGATAATTGTCAAAAGGACTCACTACAAAACTTTTATAGTTTTGTATATATTAAGTTTCTTCTACATAGACAGAAACAAGACAAAAACAAAGATATATTTGAATTCTTTTTTTTTTTGTTTTTTTGTCAAGACCATTCAACAATGAAACAAGCTGTCGGAGGAGCAAGTGTGCTCTGCAACCAAAGACATGTTTTTTTTTTGTTTTTTTTCTGCTTGTAATTTCTTGGCCTTCGGGGAATGCGGGATAACTTTTGAATAAGAAATAAATACTAGAGTTTTGTTAAATAAAATAAAACTGTTGAGGAAGGCGTTTCCGTTAAAGACTTCTGCTCTGTGGATAACTGATAAAGTAGAGAATCGTTCTGGATATGAGCAGAACTCATTGGAATTTGCACTTTCTTGGGAGGCATACCGGGCTTCAGCTAAGCTGAAATGTAGTCTTGAACAAGTTACAAAACATCGTATATAATTGGAGATTGCTTAAAAAGAAACAAGTACTTCTACGATCATAACTAGAACATGTGATTTGTCTGTCACTTTATTTTATTTAAGAAATCAAACGTATGTAGCTTGTAGCTACATTTGTTAAAAACGTTCTCAGTTCTTCCTGTGATGGGAGAAATTGGTTGCCCGAATTTACAGCAGAACCTCGTTGTCGGTTAATGCGTTCTCAGTTAATGCGTTTCCCCGGCTGTTATTTATTACGAACGCCGGTCCCGATGAACCCCCATAGGAATATGTCTATCAATTTCTTATTTGTAATGTTTGCCTTTCTGGCTATTACGTTCAAAACCTACCATCCTAGATGGCCGGCGCGATGCGCTGGGCCGCCCAGCCCAACGTGTCGTCGAATCTGCAGTATTAACCACCTAGATAGAGAGCCGTAGTGCACAATTTTATAGGTTACCTACTGAGGGCCGACGCGGTGCACATATTGAACACGAGTGCTATGTGAGCATTCGGATGGAGCTTGCGTCTAAACACAAGTTCCAGCGCAACGCTGACACAGCACTTATGTCCAATGTGTGACTCGCGCTGGCCATCAGCCGCGGTCGCTCTCTTCGTTTTGTTCAGCTCCCCCCTTATTATCCTCTTTGCCTCTCTGCGCCGCGCTCTTGCCCTCGTTGTTGTCCGGGCGGGCATGATCTTGATCTAGGGTTGGAAGGGATTGAGGCTTGTGCAACAGCCACCCGCTCATCTTTTCGTCTACTTCTCTTTATCGCGCGCGCGAGCTTCTGCCGTGATGGGTCAAAGATCTCGCGTGGTGTTCGGAGTTTATAATCGTGCACCAAGCCACTGCATCATGCTCTACCGTTCTGCACCGACGCGCGCGTCGAACTTCCCCGGTTTACTCCGGCGTGCTAGGAGCAGCGGCTGTCGCAGGGCAGCATCTATCTATAGTCAGTGACAGGTCAAGAACGAAGTGGAAGTTCCTCCCACCTCTTTCCACTTTAGCAGTGCGAACACTGGAGAGAAGGTGACCCCCTCTCCGCCGTTCGCTCGGCTGAAGTGGAGAGGGGTGGGAGGAGCTTCCACTTCGTTCTTGACCTGTCACCGACTATAGGCTAGCTCGATAGGCTCAGAAATATTTTGGTTTTAGAATAAAAGCTACCGATACTTGATAGGTTATATTCACATGATTAATTCAGGGGGATGGTAATAGAACAATTCTAAAATTGTAATTAAAACAAATTTATTATAAGTAACGTGATTACTTGTAAGCATACCTGTACCAGTGAAACCAACATCAACATTTTGGAACAACACATCTTCGAGTACGATATCTAGATAGCTTTATAGTTATAGTGTCGAGCGGCATGAATAGGAACACCTGTCCTGTTCTCCGCGTCACATCGCCATCACCATGGAACACTTTTATGGCAGGGCATTACTATAAACATGGTCGATCAGTCTTTTCTTGGTCGACCATTCACCATGCCTGCCCTTTCCAAGCAGCTGCAGTACTGCGCCAAAAATTATTGTTTTTCTCCAGTGTATGCATACCAAGCAGCTAATCCATCACTGATACAAAACAATCATAACACCAAAATTTAACCTGATTTCTCCGATGTATAGTATATATATATATACAGGGTGTTTTTTTAAAGCTTTACGTATCTGTTTAAAAAAAGCCGCAAAAGTTACACTCATGCGGTTTGTGCAGCTAAGTTATACGGCCAGGGGGACATTATGTGGGTGGCTAACCTTTGCGATAAGTCGACTATTTAGCTAAAATTCCTTCAATTTTTAATTAGTGAAAAAATACACATGTTTCCAATTAGAAGCTTACTGAGCGTCAAGGAAAACCACTAGATCAACTCTTTTTAGAGCGACTTGAATCTCGTGGGAAACTCGGGGCTGCACCAAGTTCCCACTCGTGCAGCAGGCGCAAAGCTAGCAGTGGCGGAACGCGGTGATAATCCAACCAACCTCGTTTTGCCACTGCTAGCTTTGCGCCTGCTGCACCAGTGGGAACTTTGGTGTGCCCCCAAGTTTCCTACGAGCTTCAAGTCGTTCTAAAAAAAAGTTGATTTAGGGGTTTTCGATGACGCTCAGTAAGTTCTAGTTGGAAGCAGATCTCTATTTTCACTAATTTAAAGTTAATTATCGAATTTTAATTAATTAGCCGTCTTATTGCAAAGAGTACCCACCCACATAGGGTCCCCTGGCTGTATAACGCACAGGCACAAACCGCATAAGTGTAACTTTCATACTTTTTTTTAAAACAAATCTGTAAAGCTTAAAAAAAAACACTTTGTATAGGCTAATTAGACGGCTCCCGCACGCCAGTACACAGTGAAATTTCTCACGGGGTGCGCAAATATGAGGTGGACGTCACCTTCATTGCTTACCTGTACTCTTCTTTACTAAGGTTCGACAAAACGTTCTGGTCGTCGTCCGTTAGTAACCGGAATGCTGCACTAATGTGATGGTTCTCCAGAACCGAACGGTCATTGTAGATAAGTGCAGTTTCCGACCTAAAATATGGCAGTGGCAATCAGTAATCATTTTCAGGAATAATTTCATACTGAAGGGCCGGAAGAAGGGCTCCGAATGGCAATTTAAAAGTAGTTTTACAGTTTTGGTAACAGCCGATGCGAGATAATGGTAGCCTAAGGAAAAAAAAAAACTTTCTACTTTCGGGTCTTCTTTTACATCGTTTCATCATATGTCCAAGCACACTCGAAAGCGCCAACACATACAACCACGAACACACATACTGAAGGTGCAAGTCACTGGGCCTTCCCTGCACATGATTGGTTCAGCGATGATAGAACACACACACAAACATGACGAACACAATGACGTTGCGCTTTTCACGCTGTTTGACTGATCCCATCGACTCGTAGCGTCGGTTGCGCTTGAGCTTAAGGTGAAATGAAGTATGGTTTCATTTCTCAGAGTTCACTGTCTGGACATTACAGAATAAAGTGTTTTCTTGTGTTCTGTTGTCTCCTGGCATACCCTCCTACGTCTTGTCCTTCCTATCAGTTGCTCGTTATGGTAACATGGCGAAATAATTTATTAAAAGTAAAAAAAAATGGTAAGACCACTGAATATTTAAATTCTCACACGCATGCACATTTTCAAAAAACAAACAAACAATATACGTGTAAAAAAATGTATTTGTTTCATGCTGTGTGAAAGTGAAGTGTTTATTCTGAGCACTATACTTCGTTTGACCGTTAGTCGGAGCGCAGTCGAGGCTAGAAGACATACACACACATGTAAACAGGGTGTTTTACGTAAGAGTGACAAAAATTCCTAAAATTAGTGTGTTCGAGGTAAAAGGACAACTTTCTCGGGTCCGCATTACCCGGGGTGGCGGACGTCAGAAAATGCGCGGTACTTACTAATTAGTTCGCTAATTAACTGAAATTACTAGTCAACTCTTTAATTAGTGAAAATAGACATATGGTTCCAATTAGAAAATTGCTGAGCGTCATCGAAAACCACTAAATGAGTACTTTTCAGAAATACTTTGAGTGCGTGAGAAGTGTTTTTGACGACGCTCAGCAAATTTCTAATTGAAACATATGTCTATTTTCACTAATCTAAAAGTTAATTAGTCATTTTCAGTCAATTCGCGAAATAATTAGTAAGTATAGCGAATTTTCTGACGTCCGCCACCACGGGTATTGCGGTTCCGAGAAAATTATCCTTTTACCTGGAATACACTAACTTTAGGAATTTTTGTCATTCTTACGTGAAACACCCTGTAGGTATTAAAAGCGCATTATCACGGTGCACTCGCGGCGCTTCATTGTATAAGCTGGCGATAGCACGTACAGAAACGACGAAAACTTTGCGTTCTTGACGCAGCTTATTGGCCCCATCGACTGGTAACGCCCGCAGCGCTCTGGCTTATGGTGAAATGAAGTTTTGTTAGTCTAAGTAAAAAACGCCTTTTATAGTTCTTTTAATAGACACGCAGCGTAAGGTCATGCAGGAAGTTTTAGTGAATGATTGTAACGTTTGGAGGGTTGATGTGGTAAAGAACTTTTAGAAGCCATGAATATTTACAGGGATTGCTTTGTAAATGATAGGAGGCGGCAAGTTGTGCAGCAATACTCAGTTTGTGAAGTGTACAAGGATTTAAGTGTGACATATTTAATACATTTGACCGATGAATACAACCTCCAATGAGTGACATGCAATATAAACTAAAAAAAAGAGAACAAATGTAAGAAAATGAGAAATTGCTACTCACCGAGAATTCACATGGAAGTTATTAGTTGTTCCTGTGTGTTCGAAGTCGTGAATGACCGCCGCAAACAAGGTAGCAAAAATTTCTAAGTCCGTTAGCCAGTTCTGAAATAATAAAATAAAAATAATTACAAAACAAGCAAACATAGAATGAGCCTTCACTTTCATAAAAACAACTCTTTTGGCTCTCGGCACTAAGAATCTTCTACAAATGATAAATAAATGACAGACTGTTATGATTTGATACACTGCTTATGCGTTATAACACTGTTTCAGCATCAGTGAAATATATCGGTCAGCACAAGTTATGATAGTACCTTCACATGTTTCATAGTGATGCACGTAAGAAAGCGGATGTCACCAACAGAGGAAGTAACTTACAGCGACACCAGCCTGACAGAGCATGTAGTGGACGGTCTGGGTGACATCTGCGGCATGCAGGTTGTTGTGGTACGGGTTTTTGTATTTACAGTACCCTTGTTCCACTGAATTAAGGAAGTTTTCCAGGACACCAGACGAGATCTGAAAAGTAATGAACGGTCTCCTTTATAAGGTACATCACTATACTCCTCATGCAGCTGTTCTAAAGGGCTATGAGGAGCGAATTTTTATTTTTTTCGTGGTAGGGTCAGTTTATGGATCGAATGGAGCCCGGATGTATGACTACACAGGGAGAGAAGAAAGTTTTTCTAATACCGACGCGGCCTTCCGTTAATGAAAGGGTTTTAAGTTCAGAAACTGATAGAGTAAGGCAGGTTGTGTAAAAATGACCGGACCTGAAGTTTATAAAAATAGCTGTAATAAGCACAGCTTTATTTAGACCAGGTACTTTTCTGCTACCGCTCCATACTTCTAAAAGACAAATAAAAGGGAAAGAGAGAAAGAACCACACTTCTGAATATGCCTGCTGCAACAGCCCAGCACATTTCTTAGCTCTTAATAGAATAATCCCCAAATGTTGACATACAAGCCTAGTGAGCGAACGTTTCTGTAAAGGTGATTTCAGTGGTCGTACTCATCCAAACAAATTTTAACGGGCAATTACCTTTGTTAAGCAAGCACTGCTTTCCCCTGAAAAGTGGACAGCGGTCATCCCAATATGTTGCGGAGACGAAGTTGAGCAACTTTTTTTCACCGGTAAAACAGACCACAAAAATTCACTTTCAAAAAAAAAAAAAAAAAAAAAAGTTTAGCGTTTTATGTTTTACATTGCAAGAAACATTTGGGACACAATAAGCATATATTTGCTTTATCTATTCTTTGTTTTGTTCGATGGTCAAGAAAAAGTTGTTGATTTCTGCTTCGCTCCTTTTATTCCAGTCGCATGTTTACTTTGTGTGAGTGTTTCTATAACGGGGACATGAATTTGCTTAGACTTACTATATGCAATGACATGTACTCAAGGTAGTATAAATGATGCAGAGACACTGACGCATGAACGTATAAGTGTTTCCATAAAATTCACATTAGTACGTTCCGTTTACTAGACAGAAAGCATAGTCAAGAATCAACAAGTGCAGATCGCTTTCGCTGTGCCACTTCACCAGAGCACATGAGTGTAATCCCGTAGAGCACGAAAGCAGCGCATCGGAATTCTGCGTGCGTATACATGGCGCTCCATTACGGGTCGGCCACCATCATGGTGGACGTCAATGTCCTATAGGCAGCCGGCAACGGTCAGGCGGCGCCAGCAGGGTGAGAGCGCACGGTTATACCCTGTCTCGTAGTAACTTGGCAAACGGCGAACGATAAGCCCCACATTGCGTGCCAAAGGCTTCGAAATGCGCGACGTATACGAGCACAACGCACGCATATTGAAGCATGACGCAGCGAAAAGCCTGATACTTCTTCGGAGTTGAGGCGCGCTCCGGTGATACGCAGTCACGTTCCGATTGGCCCACCAGGGCCGTAGCTTCCGCTCTACTGTCATTTTACGCGATCACAGCTTCCTGGGATACCCAGTATTTCTTGCTTCAGACACTAGGCTCAGCGGCGCCACCAGAGTAATAGCTCACGTTTGAACAATGCAGCCGCCACTCCCAGGGGTACCCCATATTTCTTGCTTCAATCGCTAGATGGCGCCAAACCAAACAGCATTGCAGGTTGCCTATATAAAGTAGTCACAGTGTAGATATTAGATAAGCAACGGTTCCTTCGGATAACGTTATTTGATAAAGTAAATAAGCACCAACTCCTTCGGTATCGGCCGCGAAGCAGGTGCCGCTAGTCGCGCCCCGAAAAAGGCGTCATAATTCATTTCATCTGAGGTCCGAGCGCTGCCAACGCGTCAAACCAATCGACTCAATCGGTAAAAAAAAAAAAAAAAAAAAAAAAAAAAAAAAAAAACTTGCTAGTTTACGACATTTTTGTTTTTATATGCGAGTGTCGCCCGGATCCAAAGCAGCGCGAAACTTGAGTGTCGCGACATCGTGTTTTTAGTCTGTGCGTTTGTGTCTGTGTCACAACCAGCGCTCATCAGCCAAGCGAAAAATGCTGAGGCAGCAGGCTGTGGACGCATGCTCGGCGTGTCATTTTTCGTGAAAGAGATCTACTGCGCACGCTCAGAACGCCTTCCACAGTCCAGCAGACAAAGATGGCAGCGCGCAGAAGGCGATTATCGGAAAGGTCGCTCATCACCCGGGCGAAAAATGCTGAGTCACTGAGCCGTGTACGCATGCGCAGCGTCTGATATACTGCAGAAGAGAGCAGCAGCGCATGCTCAGAAGGCGTTCCACAGCCCAGCAGACGAAGATGGCAGTGCGCAGAAGGCGATTTTTGCAAAGGTCTATGAATTGCCGCTCCGAGGACAGGTGCTGGGTAATCGCAAGACGAACTAGCACTGGCGCAATTTCTCTGTGTCATGAGTTTGCAGGCACGTCACTTAGTAACGTCTCTTCGAATACAAGACGTTCGGCGGTTTTTGTTTTTTTCCCTTTCTATCGCGGAAGTATACTCGGGGACAACTTTTCTTGGCACTTCCGAGGAGAGAAGGATAGCGTTCGTTCAGCTTTAATTAGCGCTCAAAATAGGAAGGGCACGCGTGCTCGTACCATTAATTGCATTTCCAAGAAAAGTTGTCTCCAAGTATATGCATTGCGGGCTGAAATCGCCGTCTTCCGTTGCTGTCCGAAACCAAATAAATTCAAACAATAAAAACGCAGAAACAACTACTTTAGATTTGTTATCCCCAAAGTTGAAGCAACACCTCCTAGATAAGAGGTGTTGAATTTTCCTGCGTCACTAACAAAAGCCACTCTAGGCCACAGATGGGAAAGGACGCGTCAGCGTTCGGTTGGAACTCGTGTTCAATCAATGAGAACACGACTCCAAGCCGAACGCTGACGCCGTATAGACCTTTGCAAAAATCGCCTTCTGCGCGCCGCCATCTTTGTCTGCTGAGCTGTGGAACGCCTTCTGAGCATGCGCTTTTTCGGCGTTACAGGGAGTTGTAAACGGCTTTCATCTTTTTTTTGTTTGTAAAACGAAGCCAATGTTTACTGTTGTCAACGCAAACACCAAGTAGTGTGGGTAACAAGCTGGACTGAGGCTGAAGCGCGCGTGCAAAAACACAAAAAACAAAATTACCCGAATTCGGAAAAAAATAATAATTAAACGAGGGTATTTTTGGCAATCAAATTGTAAATGTGGTCAAAACATTGCTTACAAGTATTTTGCCATGTTCCAAATTTCGTGCGACTTGCGATTCGATTTTCGGACACGAGTCGCGCCATCGGTAGAGTTACTGCGAGCATCGCAGAAGCTCCAAGAGCGAGCTCTAGGCTTTCAGAGTCCCTGCCAAGCACGCACGCTCGTGCTGAATTAAGGCCTACGCTAATTCAGAGTTGCGGCACTGACGTAGCACGTCATTTCAGCTTGCAAATATTATATATATATATATATATATATATATATAACTCAGTTCATTGCTGTGTCGTCATGTTTTTACCAGGGGATGTACGTGCCGCTCGTATACCGATTTGTCTTACTTGAAAATAACTAAACACGCACACACATAAAGGTCTACTTTCATCTGGTTTTACGCCCACCACGGCTCACTTGTAGTATCCGGCTGAGCGCACATCACTCAAAGTGTTTTTGTTCATGCGCATCTTCCTGCTATATTTCGTTCCATATCTTACCACCTTGTACCAACCACAGACGTGAGGGCCCGCGAAACAAAGTCCCCTTTCAATTGTACGCTCTGGCGCCTGTAGCTTGTGTAACGTGGTACACGGAATGCTAAGGGAGTAAAATATAGCTTTCTAAGTAACCTAGACCTATATCAATGGCATTACAAAAAGTCCATGGAAAGAGCCAATGCTCTAAATGACGACACGCCAAGTTACAAATGATATAGCTCAAGTTCCCGGGTTTCGGGGCATATTTTTAAGGATTTCAGCTTATTGGAGCCTCATTCATTCAAATTAATTCCCAATCGACAGGAAGTTTTGGCCACATCACAGTCACAACGCCGGCCAATAAATTTGCACGCATTTATTGTAGCTGGGATCCAAGACAATTAAACATGGCTTACCTTGAACTTATGGATGAGCCCATATCGGTTGAGTAAGTCGTATGTCAAGAACCGAAGAACTTGACCGTTGGCGACCTCGTTCATGTTGAAGACGTCAAAACACCAATCATCTGCATACTGAAAACAAGCAAACGCGAGACTGGTGTCACTCTAACATTGAATTCAGCCGAAATCGTAACCTCGAAGTCCAGAGCGCGACAAATGTCTAAAAACGAGAGAAAGCTGGTTAGAAACGAGCGTCCACGCGAAATCAAAGCTGCATTCAAAGCTACACTGAAAAAAGTAAATGTGTAAAAAAAAAAAAAAAAAAAAAAAGAAACGTATTGGCAGATGTTTTGCCACAAATATTCCGTTCTCGTCTGAATTTTTTTTTTTTCGTAATTTTTGTTTAAAATAACCGTTTCGGTACTTGGTCCTTTCTGTAAAATGACTGCATTTCTGTTGCCCAGCCTCGTAGAAAAACAACTTTTGTTCTTAGAAATAACAAAGTTTGTGTTAAAAAAGCGGGTTTCTGTTCTGGATGTTTGTGAAAAAAACAGTGCCTCTTTTTTACAGGTTGTGACAAGCACTTCACAGCGAACTGTGTCGCTGGTATTGACCTTGCCATTCAAGCGTTAATACAGAGAAAAGCAGGAAAACATGATACAATAAACTTATACGTACAAACAGAACACAAATAACAGCAACACAACAAAGAAACCAATCACGCGCCCTCCTCCATGTATTCGCGACGCCAGCAAACTATATATGCGACGCCCTGCTCAGGCAAAATGGCGGACGAAAGGAGGTCGTTTTCGCCGTTCAGCACGCGGACCACCATAAATTTCTTGCACTGCAGGGTAAGCGATTTCTTGACGGTAAAACCTTCTTGTAGTCAGTACGTAGGAATGACACGGCGGAACCATAAAAATGATTACTGGAAACGATGTTTGTTTCCATGCTGCGTACGAAAACCAAGCAGGGATAGCAGACGACAGGGTCGAAACGACCTCCTCTCATGAGCTTCTCGGCGTTGCCGCCACACGGCGTTGATTTCGCTGGAGCCGCCAATACCACGTCCACCCGATCGCTATATATGGCAGCCTTATTTTTGATTTCGACTTGGCCTGTTACGGCGACATTTGCCGCACAAACTATAAGAGGCTGACCAAATATTACTCCTGCTTAATATTTTTTTTCCATTTTCACAGTGAATTGTTTATATCTCTCAATCCAGCGCCTTCATAAAAGCCACAGTAGATTAATTGACTAAAATTAATTATTTAACCTTTAATATTAATTTAATGAATTATGTTAAAAATTCAATACTAGCTGATTTATGTTTGAGGCAATAAAAATCAGATTTTAGTTAATTATACAATTAGCGCGACGATTAATCGCCCCCTTTTAACGCCCTCCGAGCCCCAAAGCATGCAGGGAAGAGACGGCATTCGAGTAGCCCGCCATACCCTCTTTTTTTTATTAAACTTTGCTCGATTTAAAATGAAACTCTCTGACTTCGCCATGACGTGCCGCAGCTATCGCTGTGACTCTATATTGTCGCGCTGGAATGAAATGCGAACAGCTGAGCGCGTGGCCGTCGACACATGCTGAGCCTAGCTGCGCCTCCTGGAGGCCTCTGGAAACGGACAAAATTGCGGGTTGGAGAGTAGGGCGCCCTGCCAGGGTACGCGTCCTACTCCGATGTGTTTCACCCTCGAACAGCACAACGCAAGATTCGACGCTGCGCCGGTGGTGCGCTGGAAGCTCCATCACAGCCATTTTTGTTTTTTCGGCACGAACCACGCGAACGAACTTGCCGCTTGCAGCAGGAGCAAGCTTCTTGCGCGCGCGCCCGTGTAGCATGACTGCAGTGTCATGCACACTCCTAACTTGCGCCGTTTTTTTAATTTTGTTTTTATACGCGTTGTGATTTTTGAGACAGAAGAACATCAGGGGACCCAAGACGACTGCTGACGCCTAAGTGAAGTCAATTACTCGGTAGACTTTTACATATCAGTTTCCAGCGCTCGCCCTCTGCCCTGTCTAGCACTTGTGTCTCGTGTGTGGCGCAGAGATTGCCAAAATGCAGGTCCACCAGCTCCTGCATCACAAAACATTTTTACGAAATACGTTAACTTTATAATTGGGGACTTTTAGGAAACCGTTATACCGTATTCCGCGTACCGCACTTCCAGATCCTTTGAAGCATACTTTTAAGCGCGCGCACCGTGGTCACGGTATCACCCGGACGTGCGCTCAAAACCATGCTGCTCGTCGTCTCCCGCGTGTGAATTCTCTTGGGAGACGGACGAACCGCGGACATGTCACGTAAACAATCCGTCCGCAGATCAGTCCGTCGTGCGAATTGGCCATTACCGGTGGCCGGGTCGCTGCGTACGCTGCGCCGCCTTGGAGAGGGCTTCTCTGGTGGTGTCCCTTGGAACTACGCCGCACAAGAGCCAATGGGAGCCTCGTTCCTTGATGACGCGCGCCAGCCAATGGGAGCCTATCCATCACATTTCTGCCACATACGACATTGGGACAGGGAAAGGTGCCGTTTGGCACGGCTTCCAAGCTGATGACGACAGTTTGCTCAACAGAACAGTCATTGCTTTCGCATTAAAAAAAAAAAAAAAGCGCAAGTTAGGAGGGAGCGTGACGCTCCGGTCATGCTCCACGGACGCGCGCGCGAGGCGAGCGCGCAAGCAGCCAGCTTCTCCTGCGAGCGGCAAGCTCCCTCGCGTGGCTCGTGTCGAGGCAACGAAAGTGGCTGTGACGGAACTTGTAGCGCACCACAGGCGCAGTGTCGAAGTTTGGTTTGTGCTGGGCGAGGGTCAAACCACGGTGGAAGAAATACATTTAGGCGGTGACTTTGGCCGCTCTTCCAGCGGGAAGCGAGCGACCAGATCGTGTTCGGAGCTAGCCTCGACCCAGGAGTATACTCTGTTTCACTTTATGAAGTACCGCAGGAATGGCTGCAAGCGCGAGCTCCTTATCTGGGGCACATCTCGGCGGCACAAGCTCTCGTGACTTGAGAGCGGCTGCCAACGCTATGAGCTCGCACTTTTAGCCTTCGCTGCGGTACAACATAAGGTGGAACGAAGTAAAGTTAGTTCCGCGCCGCCGCGGAGGGCGCTATGGTGTGAGCAACGTGGGTATGAGGTCCCTCCTCGGCGGCCACGGCTTCGGGGGCGTAGCCTGCTGCTCGCCTTTTTCGCGGTGTGGTGGTGGTGTGTGGCGAGTGGTTGGCCTCATGTTTTGCTTTGGGGCTGTGTCGATCACAGGTGCCACCGTCGTGCACGAAGGTGAGCCTTAACCCGTAGGAGTTATGCTATAAGGATGGGAAAGACGTGCTTCGTTCCCAACTGCAATTCGGGTAATCGGAACTGCGCAGAGCGAGTGTCCTTGTTTAAAGCTCCATCGAATGACGCTCGCCTGGAGCAGTGGCGTCGTGCAATCCCGAGGGCCGATCCAAAATTACTACCTAGTCTCCTCATCTCGTTGACCAAGTGAAGACCAAGCTTGACAGTCTAATTTCTGTCGAAGACTGGGAATGCGAGGATGTCTGGACAGAAAAGGCTGAAGAAACCAAGGCTGTGGACTGCATACTATATTATGTAACTGGGTTTTTGAGTGTGAGAATGAAAAAAAGCTACACGCTGCCCTGCATGCCGATCCGCTTTCAGCATCGACAAGAACCCTTCTGCTGAAGCAGCACTGACAAACGTGAAGAACAGAGGAGGCCTTATACACCCCAACAAGAATCTTTTCCAGCTACTGAAGAAAGCAAAACAGTTCTTCGTGGAAAATAAAAGACTGTCTACTGGGACACAATCGACAGTGTTTTTTGACACATGCACAATAACGTTTCCATGCCCTGAACACAAAGAAGAAACAATTGCCCAGTTGCTCTACTATACTTCAGCATGCGAACGCGACAACACTGTAAGCATATTACGATAAGTAGGAACAAACAAGCTTAAGAAAAGAAGAAATCAGCAAAGCAGCGCTCGTCTTAATTTAGGAGCATGGTTGATAAACACAGGATGAAGGAGATGGCGTTTTTTGATAGTATGCAGTGAATTCAGCTTTTGTGTACATTGTAAAGCAAAAATATTTGTCAGGTATTCTTTTACCTGTAAGACGGGGTGACACCATATTGTGAGAGTATAGATGGAAAGTGATTTATGTTCTATAACCGCTACTACGGTTTGACTTTCAGTCACTATGTCATCATGTCAGTCAGCATGTCATCATACTGTGTCATCATTTCAGCCACTATGTCATCATAAATATAAATTTTTTCTGCTCACAATGTTTGTATGTTCCACAGTACAAGTTGACATTGTATGTATAAACCATTTGTAATGCTATAACCTTTATGCGCATGTAAATAATTATTTAGGCCCCACTATGTAACATTATTAGAATTTATTCTTTTCACTAAGAAGGCAGGAACAGGGTGGAAAAAATCACCCAACCTCCTATAAAGCCACGCAATGTGTGTAAACAATTTACGGAACTGTTACCAAACATGCTGTTTGACGAAACACGCGAGCACGACCCAGCTGTTTATTCTAAATTACTCTAAATTATTGAAGGCCCAGTAGATTATGCCGGGAAGCTTTATATTTATACGAGTATTTTTGTCACGTTAAGTCATCATCGGAATGTTCTCGTTTAAAAAAAAAAAAAAAACAGGAACCGCACGGGGGAAAAGGCAATCAGAGCCAGTGCGCCAACATAAATCAATCATTTCACTACAGAGTACACAGGGACCGAGTAAAGAATGCATAACTTCCTTCACAAGCCCTCTATACAAGCCTTCACAAGCCCCTCTATACGTGGGCGCCATCTATCCCCGTGCGAGTGAAGCGCTCTCGGTGCGCCGAACATAATGTGGTCGACGCCTGAGACAGAGAGTCATCCCCTAAATGTATTTCTTCCACCGTGGGTCCAACACATCGGTGTAGGACCAGAACGCACATCCTTGCAGTGCCCTCTTCTCCAACCTGCAGTTTTTATCAGTTTACAGTGGCTTCCAGGAGCCGGAAGATGTGTCGACGGCCACGCTCTCTGCTGTTCTCATTTTATTCGAACCCGATAGCACTATAGCATGTATTGAGATTGCGAACAAACACTTCGTCATAAAATAATTTATTTAAGCTATACTTCGTTTACTGATTTAATGATAATTGGTTTTGCAGGAATGAGGAAAGATCTGTATTTTTACAGTAATCAGACTTTGTTTACCCTGGTTTTCACCCAAAAATGTTTGGGATGTGGGAATAATACAAGCTCTGTTTTCGAACAGATAACGGGACGTTTTGTAAAGTGTTTGTTTAAAGAAAAACCACGCTTTTTAGTGTAATACAACTCTGTGTTTTTACAGATAATACAATTATCTTTAAACTGTTTATTCACCGAAATCCTGAGTTCTTGAGAAATAACATAAGCCCTGTTTCTTTACCGGTAAGCTTGTCTGTATATTAATTTAACAGAACCATTACCTTATTTTGACCGAAATTTTCCGGATATTCCCTGTTATATTACAAACGTGTTTTACAGTGGGTACAGTGTACATAATTTTGCCCATACTTTTTAGTGCACGGTTTCGGAACAATGCCCACGCGTAAATCTGCTCATGGCCTAAAAACGTGCAACGTCGACCTTTAAAAAAAAAAAAAAAATTCTGATGTGCGGTGGACTGCTTCAAAACACACAACGAAGCCTCCCAACAAACATACAAGCCCGCGCAGAAGTTGCCAAGCAAAGCGGCGTAAAATGCCCAGTACAGTCGCGGCAAATAAGTGGGAATCAGTTTAATAATGATGTAAAAAATTACTTACTTTTAGTAGCTGTGCAATTTGGGAAGGAATTTGCATGAGGGTTGAGCTAGACATGCGTCTGTATATCCTGAAAACGGAACAAAGAAGCGGGTGGAGATGGAACGCACTTTAACACGAAGATCACTCTTTAGTGTGCATTCAACGCAAAAGCAAAAGTAACGATAGAAAGGTAACTATCGTCACTTTTACTTCATTGCGAAAGGAATTATACAATAACCTTATTCAAATAAAACAGGTCCCTAAATCGTCTTGTTAAATACGCTAACACACACAAAAAATATATATATATATATATTCTCAAGATTAAAAATGTTCCATTTCGAACATGCTACTATCCTAGGATGGTTCATTCGCAAATTTTAAGACTAACTTTTAGACTAGAAAATATCTCGTAAAGCATGACGAATGTAATTAATCGTAAATATTTCCCTGTTGACAAAAATTCGTTGTTTTATGAAGAGCTGCATATTGGATATGGGACATTCCCATAATGTCCAATATTGCCACCTGATGAAACCTATAGTCGGTGACAGGCTCAGAGTTCAGGGGAAACTCCTCCCAATTCTTTCCACTCTAGCAAAACGAACGGTGGAGGGGAGGTCGCCACCCTACAGCGTTCGCTCTGCTAGAGAGGAAAGAGCTGGGAGCAGTTCTCCCTTGAATTCATTACCCATCACCGACTATAGACAAGTCGAAAATCAGACGTAATTTGGGGCTTCAATTGCGTCAATTATAAGTGATCAATTTTAGGTAGCATATTTAGTGTCCTTATTTGCTCGGACAAAATCGTAACTTTCACTTCACAAAAACTGTTACTTTTTGAATCGCCCGCGCTTGCCGTCTTTCGATCAGCGTTTCTCCCGTTGTGCATGCCTGCTCTGCGGGCAAGCGACAGAGCGTGGAGCCGTTATATCAACATTTAAACAAAATGTTATTAAAAATGACAGTTCTAAGTCATCGGTGCGCCTTTAGAATGAGCGTGCAAATCGCGCGAGTACATTAACATTTTACCGCAGCGCGGGAGACGCCACGGGACATTTGTTGCAATCATTATAGCGATGATCACTGCGCCAAATATTGCCACGAAAACGATTAGAATTTTATTTAGCCGAGAGAATCGACATTTGTAAATGCCGTCAAGCTGTAATCGAGCCATTATTTATGACGCATGTATCACCATATAGCAAGTGAGACAGCCATCATTTTCAAAATTAGGGACCATCTACGAACGCTAGAGTGTGAGAACAGTCTAAAACTAACAAAACCAATAGTAAAAAAAAAAAAAAAATGAGAGAGCTTTAGGGAATTGTTTTCCCAGCGAGGCCCGCTTGTTACAGATGATGACGTCACTGGTTTGTGCCATCACTACGCATGCGCGTTTTCAAAAAAAGTCATTTTATGGCACCGATTAGAGTCTTGCAAAATCTCGAATCAACGCCCATCCACAATGAAAAGATAAAAGGGAAAAGCACGACGTAGGCGATCGTTCAAGGGTGGGCGTTCGTTCGAGATTTTAGTGTAGTTCGAAGAAGAGCCTCCCAAGAGCCGCTAGCATAGCCTCCTGGCACGCTGAAACTGAAACCAACCAAATTGAAGCCACCCAATGGCGGCGAGTGCATCAGCGCCCTCTATCCGCCGATCAGGTAACTACTAAAACGACAATGAGCGTACGCACCTGTCCACCATGATGCCGGCCCGGATTGCGTTGGCCACAGAACGAAACCGTGGCTTGTCCTCCGACCGCTTCCGCTGCGTTGCCGCCTGGCGCGTGAAGGTGGACGCCAGCCATTCTCGAACTTCGTTGGGCACCGCATCGGGCTGCACTTCAGACAGGTCGTCTTCCTCGTCCAGCATCTTCCTGCAGTTCGACGCCGCAGTCGCACAGCTCGAGCGAACGCTCTCAAGATGTCACCCGTTGCTAACCCTCGTGCCGTTTTCGACACGAAAGCGTTCAGCAGAAAAACAAAACAAAAACAAGCAAAACCTCCCACCGTCTTAGAACAACTGATATTGTTATTTAACCTACCCTCTCTCGGCTGACGGAAGAAACTGAACACGGGTAAGCATAGCATTTAGATTCACCCAAAAGTGATGCGATGTATTTAGTTCAAAGTACGCGGGAAGAAGAAGCTGTTTCCTCATTTCAACACTCCCGTCGCCCTCCATTATGAGGCGCCACAAGCATCGTTTGGCTGCTTTTGACCGCAGCCCCGGCGTTCGCATTTCTTTCTAGCGTGACCGCACAATGCGGTCGTCGCGGAACCACGCGTTTCTAAGAATGACCGGGAGGCTGGTTACCTTCGCCCGAAAGCAGCTATATACAGCAGAGGGCATACGTCCACGTCCGTATCAGACACTTGTATCTCTCTATTTGTCTCACCACCGTTACGCAACCTTGCAAGTTCTCAGAAAGTTAAGGAAGTGAGCAACTGTGATTGTGTACTTTATATTCCGGTTACTCGTTTTGCAAACTACGGAAAAACTACGCGCCTCGAGCTCGTACACTCCAGTTGCTTTCTTTGCATGGCAACACGCGGCTACCAAACTGCGTGTAGAACCACCGCTTGGAGGCGGAGGAAATAGAGAGGGGAAGGGGGGGGGGGGGGGGGGGGGGGGAGTTGTATAAATACTCGGAACCGAGGGAGCTATCTAAAAAGAGTAACAAACAAAGATGCGTCTGTATTTGTCCGTACTTTCAACTGGTTCCCTCAGTCCCGGATATGTATTATTCCGCTCGCTTTGAATGTTCAGACTTCGAAATTCTTATTGAGTGTTGTATTTTGGACGGATTTCCGTTCAGGTAGACATACACCGTTTGTGTTTGAGTGGGAACAGAGCTGTATGAAAACAACAACAACAGCACAAATATCCTTTGATTAGTTGCGTCAAGCACGTTGTTTGTAAAATTCAGTTCGAGTGCGAGTTGTGCTACGTAGGTCAGACGGGTCGTTGCGAGAACGACCGTCTCTTCGGCAGCGAAACAGTAACGAAATACATTTGTCTTTATTTGCAAATAAAAAGAACGGGTTAGCGACCCACGTTGTCTCAACATAAAATAATGCTTTACTGTTACCGTTAAAAAGTAACGACGTTACTTTTGCCTTACTTTTTTAATTATGAATTAAAACGTTTTTGTCTTCTGACGTTACAGGTATGCATGAGCGCCATATTTCAAGAGGCATTATGTCCCTCCAGAAAATGACCATAATTACCTTACATTTTGTACGATTCCACCTAAACACTCAGAAGAAAAAACACAAAAAACAAAAAAAACTAAAAACATTTATATAACTTCGCGCCTATAAAGCACGAAAAAAAAATAAGTGCAAGTTTTCTGGGAAAGAATGAGTAACGAGTAACAGAACTACGTCATACGTTACTCGAAATAAGTAACGCAAATACGTTAGCCGTTACTGTTTTAAAATCTTAACGAGTACGTTACAACGTTACCGAAACAAGTAACGCGTTACCGGTAATGCCGTTACTTCTACACTGCTCTTAGGGCACACAAGAACTGTGAAAAATGCGTCTCCAACACCTAAACTTATCGATACATTCGGGCATATTTTTTGTGTTTTCCTTTCTGGGAAGAAAATTCAATTTTATGCATAGAGGGAATCCTTTAAAAGGAATCCTGAAGGATACATTAAAGGGATTGTCCGGTCAAATTTCGTAGTCAAGAAAACATTTAGATCTCATTGTTAATGGCTGTAAAAGCATCTTCCACGAAAGATCAGAATTCTGTCTGCTTCCCTGGACGAGTAATTGTATTTTAAACCAAGCATGCATAAACGGCGTTTTCTTCTTCCACCTTTGGAGCAGCGGAAGTAACATAAGGCAAAGACGCACCGTAACGAAACAGCCTTCGAATGTTGTCCTCCGGTTGAGCGCTACGAGGTGGTTAACTATCGTTGCTGCGATATATATATATATATATATATATATATATATATAAATTTTTTTTTTTTAATGAGGGGGATTCTTGTTGTGCGGTTGTCACGCTGCACACTTCGCGAGATTTACAGTGGCGAGTAAATGGAACGCTGCGGTGCATCGGGAGCAGTGTGTTCCCACGGAGGAATGAGGCATGGGCTCTGACAATTGCAAGCCTGGTGTGACGTCACGTCAGGCATAGAAGCGCAGCCATTGATACTTGCGAAATTTGGCATGGTGTTTCGCGTAATTACACCTCTTCGATAACACTAAATTTGGGTGTCGTTAGATAGAATAAAAATGGCCCATGTTAGTCATTAGGCTCCCGCCAGGTAACCATCGCAAAATCTTAAGAACTTCCGGTTTTCGCCGGGCAATCCCTTTAAGTATATACCAGCACCCTGTTTATAAACAAGCTCGCGTTTGCCCACACCAGGTGTGGGCACCGCGTTTGCGCACAAACCATATTCGCGTAAAATGAAGCGTCTGCGCATTCGCACAGCAGACAGCAGCGCCACCGCAGTAGCATGATGTCAAAGAGTTGAGTTGGTCTATAGTGGACCATGGTAAACGTGCAAGTCAACCGTCCTTGATTTCAAATTGACACGTGAAAGCGTTTCTTGTTAATTTTTGTTTTAATCATGATTAGTTCGTTTCTTTTTGGTGTTGTTGGGGGGGGGGGGGGATGGTATGGAAAGGGGGGGGGGGGGGGTTGTCACTTGATCGGTTCACATAACCTTGGCGAAGATTATTATCCTGTCGGGTCCTTGGCAGTGGCCCAATCTCGGGGTGGTTTAGTTTACCAAGTTCGGTCAAGTCTTGGCGATGATACGTCTATTTCTTTCCTTCTTTCATGTTTCTGTAGGGATGGGCATTTATTGTCGTTCCCTTGAGAATAACCTCAGCCGCGTTTGAGATCTTGTGCCGTGTTGTCGGTTATCTTATTTTCCTTGTGTCGGGGTTAGGTCATGTTCCCTATCTTGCTCGGTCACATACTTTCTTTTCTTGCAATTCGCCAACCTCATTGATTTTTACTTCAACATAAAAGATTTTTAGCGTCCCTTGGCTAGGTGACAGATCTCGTTTATCAATTCGTAAAGTTCCCAGTGTAAGGTTTAGTGCGCTGATAGAAGCAAGGAATGGGTTGGGGCCATGCACTAAGGTCGCAAATGCCAAACAAAAATGGATACGCAATGTGCGGTGAGTGCTTTCTCTTGAACCACTTGATTCGCGGCCATACGAGTTCCATCATACCGCGATACACGGGCTCTTGGCGACAGGTTTTAATTACGTGTACCAGGATTAATCACAATTCCTTTACGGAGAGCTTCCGATCTGAGAAGCCATAAGAAGCGTTCACTACTTTATATTTTGCTTTATACAACTTAACGAAGTCAGGTCAGATAGGTCAAAGGGGATATCAATGCCCTATATCTAAATTTACAGCGCAAGCATCGGAATTTTTTGCTTTTTTCGTCTTACGAATACTTACGGACGACGGGCACGTTCCACACTCCTTTGTCGAAAAGAAAAGCAGAAATCCCAGCAATAATAAACTGAAGCTGTTGTTTTGTTTGCTTTCGAATAAATGCAACGAGTATCAGGCTACTAGCATACTGGGGATAATTAAGTAGTAAAATCAAAACAGATTCGGAGGCGTCGTAAATTTGCCTCCTTCATGTTCCAATTGAGTTTGTTCTGTCGATGCTATGATAATGTTTGTATTTCACTAGCGCAAGGGCAGCCACACGTCAAAGAGCGTCCAGCCTCTAAGTCGCTGTCAAGCATATGATTCCTTGTCAATTCACGCAAATGTGAGGACCTGAGCCTTTTTGGTTATCCAACTTAATTTGAATATATGCACAAATTTTGCCATTTAGAGTAATATTTATCTGTGTGACACATATACCTTAAAGTTTACACATCGATCACTTTTTCAAGCTGCTGCACAAAAATGCGGTTAATGCGTAAATTGTTTCACCTATGTACCAGTATCCACAAGAAAATACTATTCGGATCGACACTACTTGATTGACGCGACAACCACGTACAGAGTGCGACACAGATAGTCCGAATGCTCGGTAGTTTCTGGCAGTTTTCTTCACACGACTGAAAAGTAGGTCGAAACGTGAAGTGCGGCGCAGTGTGGATAAAAGTGATATAAACCTCGTCCATACAGCTTGGTGCGTCAGGCTGCATTGGAGGAGCGAAATTCGAATAAGCGTCGATCCCGCGCCCGGGTTAACTTTGTCACGCTTAGTACAAATCAAGTTGCAAGCGCATAAATCAAGACCTGAATATTAATGCATAGTGAACGAGTTACGTCTGAGACGGAACGTTCATGCATTTGCTTACAAATGTCAAAACATCGTTTTGCTCGTCGCAGTAAGTGCACTTGGAAACAGTAATGCGTCAATAAACAATGAAAGTCAACATCGAATTTGATGTTTGGGTCTTTCGCTTGAACACAGTTCTGTTCTAATGCCGTTTAAGTCCCGATTGTTATATTCGACGTTGATTTTTTTTCTCTCGTCACATTATGCATGGACAAGCCTAACTCCCTATATTTGTGAAGCAGTACGAACGAAACAGGAGAGCACTGCGGCAAATACCGCAATACCATTAGCATCCCTGCACTTTTGACTCACTAAAGTCTTTCGTGTTTACAATATTTACACAGCCAGTTGCTTTCGCACACGAACAAAAGTACGCGCGTTTGTGACAACGATTAATAATAGAATGAGTTTGCGTACCGAAAAAATGACTGAGCACCTTTGGAAAACGATCCGCTGTACCGACGAAAAAAGACAAGCCAGTGTAAGCATCTTTTTTGTTTGCAAGCGACAGGCAGTAGCAGTTAATAAAAATAGCACAGCAACAACAAGGAGACATTTGCATAATGCACTTTGTAAAACACAAAACAAA